TCTGAGACCATGGTTCTTGAATCGGAAAGGGTGGCTTGCCAACTCTGGGTCGGGAGAGAGGTCCTACCTCAAGTGGAGGAGTTTAAGTATCACATGGTCTTGTTCACGAGTGAGGGTAGGAGGGATCGGGAGATCGACAGGCGGATTGGTTCAGCATCTGCAGTGATGCGGACGCTGAGCTGATCTGTCGTGGTGAAGAGGGAGCTGAGCCAGAAAGCCAGGCTCTCAATTTACAGGTCGATCTACATCCCAATCCTCAACTATGGTCATGAGCTTTGGGTAATGACTGAAAAAACGAGATCGCGGATACAAGCGGCCGAAATGAGTTTCCTCCGTAGGGTGGCCGGGCTCAGCCTTAGAGATAGGGTGAGGAGCTCGGACATTTGGGAGGGACTCAGAGTAGAACCGCTGCTCCTTCGGATCAAAAGGAGTCAGTTGAGGTGGTTTGGGCATCTGGTTAGGATGCCTCCCGGACACCTCACTGGGGAGGTGTTTCGGGCATGTCCTGCTGGCAGGAGGCCCCCGGTTGACCCAGGACACGTTGGAGAGGTTACATCTCCAATCTGGTCCGGGAAGGCCTTGGGGTCCTGCCGGAGGAACTGGTGGAGGTGGCTGGGGAGAGGAAGGTCTGGAGCTCCCTAGTTGGGATGCTGCTCCCACGACCCGGACCCGGATAAGCGGAGGAAGACGACAACGACGACGACTACGATGTGACTGAGTGGGATAAGGCCGATTCTCAGTGCCATGCCGAACCTCACTGTCTCCTTATCATAACCCAAACAGAAGGAGACCGCTGGAGGCTACGCTGACCTATTCACACACACAGAGTGGGGCCTGACCCTTTTACGAGCCAGGTGGTTACTTGATTCCTCTTGATGATCTGCCAACTATATGACGCTTTTGCGTCTGCTGAATTAACAATAATACCTTGACCATAAGAGTAAACCAAAATAATATTTAAGCAGAATGTACAAGTTGCCCCTGATAGGAGATCATATGAACTGTCATGGAATGTCACAGATAGGAGTGACGGTTAAATGTTTTGTTCTTAAACCTAAATTACCTTATCCTTAGGAAATTAGGGATTAATGTATGACGTCCTGAACTTTCAAAAGTACTGATTATGTCGTTTCTACATTATTGTATCTCGAACCTTGATCTGGTTCGCTTGCCTTGAGCAGATTCCTAGATATTATCCATTAGAGACTATCCAATATCTTTATAAACATTATCCATTTGAGATTTCTAGATACAATGGTTTATCTAGTTTGCTGTTGTCATATGACATTGTACTTCTTAAAGGTCAGACTCCTACAAGAACCATGTGTTTAGTCCATTCATAACTTTGGAACTTTCTTAGCAAATGAGTCTTATAAACAGATTTCCCCATTAATGGTTAAAGTTACCTAGACTTGCTTTTGTGTCCATGATTTCGGTAACGTCTACTTTATGATGAGTTACTTTTTATGAAGTTGTTAAATTAACTGAATAGTTAAAGAATCTAGTTCTTTGAAGTTATGAAAAGTTCTCTACCTTGTGTTATCTCTCCATTTCTAAACTAGATTAACTGTGTATGTAATTAATATTGAACTCCTTCCTAGTAGGTTAGTGAATACTTTCTGTTGTTTTTACTAAATCTTTATTTTGCCCCTACTTTTGAGCAGATCAGCTCCCACTTTCTTATCACCTTCTTAATTCAACAAAGAGAGAGCAGCTCTCACCCTTGACTCATCATCATTGTTTTTATTATTTGCTGGACGAGCACTATAAGCTGACATGGCCCTTAGATTTGATCAGTGGCATGATGACCTAACACTATTCTTTGATGGTCACATTATGTTATGATTAACCTATTTCATGTACATCTAGTAGTTTTTTAATTAATTCTTGCTGTTTTCTAAATATAAATACTTTAGTTGTTATCCCTCTGCTTGATCTTTAAAATAAATTATAGCTCTTCCTCAGAGCGTTTTACACAGTGTACGTTTTTACAAATTACAAATTTCAACTTACTTATAACATCTTTTCCTTTCCTGAAAAAATATAATCTTTTCAAACAAATTTAGGGTTGTGTGTCTATAAGAACACCGTCAGTTGTTTAATTTTTGATCGTTCACTGTCTCTATGTGACAAATGAGTTTTATTTTCCTTAGGAAAATCTGTTGTTCAATTTAACGTACTGAGTTTTATTTTACTTAGATAATTCTGTTGTCCTATTTCACTTATGGAGCTTTAGTTTAGCAGTATTTATCTCCTGGTGACAAATTATACACATTATTTGAGTAGCATTATTGAGTGCCATTGCACATTGTTGATGTACTCTGACGCAACCTTACCTTACTGAATCTATATGGAGTTGAAATATTATTTTTATAATTAGGACTGGTTTCATTGTTGGTTAATTCCAGTGTTAGAAGCAAAGAGATTAAATTAAGAAGTCATTAGAGGTGAAAGTTTCTGGCATAATGAAAGCAAACACATAGAGTCTATGATATTTTTATTTTTTACCCTTTTCCCAGATGGGTTGATTCTTTTTGATTTAATTGGATTACAGTTTTTGCTACAGCTCTTTTACTATAATTTCTCCTGTTACTCCTAGGCGATGTAAGTCACTTTTTGTGTTTAGTTTCTATTTTCTTTACACGGATTATAGTTTTTATTTTTGTTAGTTGTTGGTTTGTTTTAGTTTGTTTTGTTGTTTTATGCACACTGTGTTGCACAACTCTGCCCCTTGCTGACGTGAACTAGTAATTGCAAGTTCCTTGGGATGGTTGTTTTTTTCACATGTTATGTGAGGTCCAATTTTAACGTTGGGTTGGCGCAATGCTTGCCGGTATCGGACTCCTTTTGTTTGTGTTTTGTTTCTGGTGAGCCCTGAGTTGCCTCATGCCTCAAGAGGAGGGAAGGCTGATAAAAATTTCCTCACATTATTACACTGCCTGGATGGAATTACTATAGATATTGGACGATAAGGATTTTTGCTGAAAACAATTCAAAATCAACCGTGATCTCCCAGACTTTTCTTGTGCTTTTTCACCACAGGTCGTGAAACCAGGACATTGGGTTCTGATGAAGGTGCTGAAGCGAAACAGATGGGGCAGCCAGAGGTCCATTCGAAGTACTCCTCATTACTCCCACTGCTGTGAAAATTGCTGAGAGGCCATCTTGGATTCCTTTATCCCACTGCAAGCTTATCAACCAGCCAACTGCTTTAGCGCGGCAACGAAGTCCGGCTACAAAGGGGTGGGCCACCACTAGGGTGCCATCTCTCAAACCGGTGAAGATAAGATCAAGATAAGATAAGATAAAGATCTGCTTCAAGTTTGCTGGGTTCACCACATTGTTGATGTTGGTGGTCGCACTCATGGCCCTGCACTTGGGCCGCCTCTCAGCACCTCATGGAACAACTGAGACAGCAGCATTTGAGGGGGTACTAGAACTGGAACTGAAACGACAGATTGGGGCTCCTCCCTGACCGCACACCTACATGACAACGTAACCTGCATCCACCTCGGCTGAAGACCCCTGGACGCAACTACAACAGGACACAGCGAAGAAGAGACGCTGGAAAAGGATCAACTACCTCAAGCACCTGCACCCAAATCTCCAGACTCCAGGACCTTTCGGGGACAAGATCAGCTCCCTGACAATTGAACAACTGCCTCGACACATCACAGAAGGACCCTGAAGTCTTCCTATTGAGAAGTTGAACTTTGCGCTTCATGTTCTGAACTGCGTTGTTACGCTCCGGACTTGGACTTCAAGATACTTATCAACGTAAGACTGAAACCATCCTGATCAACGGAAGAGGACTCTGACTTCCAAACCTACTCTCCAACCGGGACTCTCAGTCCACGGACAAGCCCTTTGATGAGGAACGCCTGGTTTACCTCAGCTCTACCATAGTTAGAGCTGCATAAATTAATATTACACCTTCATTTTTCCTCCTTCACTGAAAGATTTGTCTGCAACTTGGAGCTTTAAACTAAATTCACCTGATGCTTCAATATATTGTATTGATGTTTTTTGTGTATTATATGGTTTTACTAACCCTTCCCAATCTCCTTACAGGAACTGCCATAAGTCGTAGAATTGTGCATCACAATAAATTTATTTCAATATGTATGAAAGTTTTTTTCTTAAGGTTATAATTGTGTTGATTTAGCTGATTCTATTTTCTATCTCTGTGAACTGCTGTAAGATATTATTGTCAGTTGTGTTTACATTATCGTGTTTATTACCTTATTTGTTCTTATTATTTAGCTAATTTTTGTATTGAACTTTGTGTGGAATGATTCTTTGGACAAGTTAACAGGACTGAGATTACGATCCGCAATAGACAAATGATTGCAGCACCTCATGCTGTGTTTGCCTTATCGTGTTGATTCAGAACTTTTCATATCTGATCGGAGTGTTTATTACTTTACTTATTTTTCTTGTTTTGATGCTTATCATTTTTTGTCTTGAGTCGTGATTGATGTAGCTTCCATGGATGATGGTGACTAGTCATGTAAGTGGATAGAAATCCTTATTTTACTTATTTTTATTTTCCTTATTTGGTTTTGTTGCTTCCCTTTGTTTGGTTATCCTATTCGGATAAACAGAAGGGAATGTTATGGAAAAATTGATGTTTATTAATTCTTGATCATGGACTCAGGTAACTGAATGTAAATGTATTACTCTATGCATGCTCACTTATTCAGACACACACACACACATTCTTGACTTCCCACACACAGACACAATCTCTTTCTCCACTCCCATCTCTCTATAAATAAACTCTGTGACCAGATGTTCGGTGCATTTTGCCACAGTTATAACTGTTTGACTTGTTGTTCATTGTCTCCTTTTTCTCTCCGACTATAGGAAATGGGTTATTGATAAACATATTGATAAAATCCATGAAAGTAACGTTTGAGATTTTTCTGAAAAGAGCTCTGACTTCTATTTCTCCTCTTCTTTCATTCTCTGGTACAAAGCAGGCCTCAGTGATAAAACTGTCAAGGTTTAACAAAACTTAATTTATTAAGCACAAGAAAAACTGTACAAAATACATGTTTTGATCTTCTTTGCATTTGCAACTTAAAAAAATATAAATCCAATCATCAGTTGTTCACACATTTCTTTTAGTTTTGAGTTTACAAAAACATCTGGCAGCAATATACAGCATGTAAACAAGTAAAATAGTACCTTAATACAAAATTAATACTGAAAACACTGCTGTGCCACATGTACAGTTCCAGCAATTAAGCAGCTCCTGAATAAGAAACAATTTATAAAATTACATGACATTTCAATTTTGCAATTCTTCCTTCATTTGTGAGAATGAGAATTACTTTAGTCCCAGGTGAAATGTTCCCTCCCTCATGCTCAAATATTACAACATATCAAATCAAAATGATCTTGGATCGAAATTCAATTAAATTGATCCCCATGCTTTGGGATTATAACAAATGTGTGTTGAAAACAATTTTAGACGGTTAAACCTCTATAAAGTCCATTACATTTTTTTTAACAATTTCAAACTAAGCAAACATTGTTGATTGAAATAAAAAAAATCTGATGTGGGCTTTCAGAGTTGACACAAAAAGTAACTCACACTATTCTGAATCAATCCAAACATGGGAGCAACGGGGTGTATGGGGTGCCATTAGTAAACGGTCATACATTTGCAGCAATAATTTTGGGTTACTTAGCCTATCATAAGAAAAAAAGGGAGTTAATCTTTCAAAGTCATATTTTCACCATGTAATTCAAACATTTATAAACGTTAAAGATCCTAGCTAAACAATTAGTTGGCAAGCTAAATATTTAATTTAGAGTCATATAATTATTTTATAAACTGAAAATTTAGGTCAGACTGAAATATTTAATTAGTGCAACCATTTATTTTACTAGGTATATATTTTGGAGCGAAATATTTAGTTTACAAACTAAATATTTTGCTAAAAATATTTAGCTGAGATACAAATATTTATTTGGAAAAATAAATATTTAATTGAGAGCAGCTAAATATTTTTTTTGTAAACTAAATATTTAGCCCCCAATTACATATTTAGTAAGCAAATTAAATATTTATTTTACAAACTAAATATTTAGTTTAGACCTAAATATTTAGAGTATAAAATAAACATTTAACTCCAAATTAAATATTTAGCTTGCCAACTGAATATTTAGTTGTGAACTTTAACAATTGTACAATTATGAAGAACATGGTGAAAATCTGATTTTGAAAAATGCACTCCCATTTCCTTCTTTTATGATGCGCTAAATAACCCAGAATGCTGCTTTGACATTACAAATGTTACCCCATAACAGTGATCCCTCAAACATGTTCCATAGGACCCCTCCTTAGGAGCTAGCATCACAGCTTTAAGGTGTCACACGGCATTCATATCTAATGCAGATTGACGGTCATCTTGCGTGCTCTTCTCCTGAGTAGGCATCCAGGTCTGTAATCAGAACATTTCCATCGGATTCTGTTGCTTGAGAACTGGTTTGTCTGTAATATGCTCTTCCAAATGTGGAGAGTCCACGGAAACGGAGTGAGTTCTTCTTATAAACAAACCACATTGCCACTGCCAGCAGGGCAAAGATCAATACAGCCACCACGACAGCAGCAGCAGGAATGGCATCATGATGCAAATCTGAAATGAACAGGATCTTTTAAATAAGAGTGAAATTCACCAACTCAGTCACATGCAAAAGGAAATTGTCTTCAACAGGCTCCCTGTGTGAAGTATTCAATGTGAAGCAATGAGCGCACGACACAAGGAATCTGTCTATAGGTGTGAAATTCATTAGATTTTAGCAGCACTTTACCATTAAGTGGTTCCACTTTCACTTCAGTATTTACACCTGCAAAAAAACAAAACATCAAGGTTCAGTAGGAATAATCAAGTATCATCATGGGCTTTCAGGTCATCAGCTCCAAGCAAAGAGGAAAGTCAGTTCTGAAAATCCTTCTCAGTAAAATGTGACCTTGTTCAGAAAGGTTTCATAACAATCACAAGAAGAATTAAACTTTTTCATCTAAGTTTGATGTGAGGACATTTAGCATAATCTGCAAGAGAATATTTTCCTGTGCTGTAGAAGCTGCAAATATGAGGCATGAATAATAGCCATTAGATATTTTTTTCAGCAAAGCTGACACTGAGGGATCCACTTTTTCCACCTCCTTTAGCATCAGGTAAACAACGTTCTTTGCAGAAAGAAGCTAGAGCCACTGCACGACTTCTAGCAGCTGCAGCTAACAAACTGATAACAAAACTAATGCATGCAAGAAGGAGTCTGAGCAACCAGCAACAGTTGAGTTCACTTTAGTTTCCAAGCTTTAAGGACACAGTGGAAAAGGCATCTTTTGTATGCCAGTAAAAGCTGTTATTTCTCAAAAATACAAGAGTAAAGAGAAGATGTAGCAATTTCACATCTGAAAGCATTTTATTTATTTTCCCGAGTCGCATTCACTCTCCTTCCCCCTTTTCTCCTTCTCAAAGAATTTTCCATCAATTTTAAGGAAAGTTCCAAAGAAAATGCATAATGGGCCATTACTGTAATGAATATTTGGACAATTAAATTTGAGCTGTTTTTCTGTATTTGAACCGCTGTTACACACCAACAAGTCCTTGAAACACGTGCAAACATTCTACTGACTAACAGAGACAGCTTTGCAGATTGAAATCAGACAGAGCAAAAAACAGACTGGTCTTGATGTGCAGCAGTTTGATACAGCAATATTCAAAACTATACTCAACTCAACACACTGAAACAGTTACAGGAAACTTGCCACTGTTAGCATAAATGGCAGTGTGCCTAGAACAGTGGTAGTACAGTTAGCTGCTGACCCAAATACAAGTTTCAGTGATGTCATTACAAACCACAAAACAGAGCAGCACACACACACACACACACACACACACACACACACACACACACACACACACACACACATCTATTGAGGCTGTCCACGATAAACACCAAAGCAGATGCTTCACACGGCTGAATTAGCATGCATTAAATAACCCATCAAGATGGATTACATGACAGTCGGTGACATAGCCAGCAAAAAGCTCCAAATTCCAGTGTGGACCAGCAAAATGTCCACACATTACAGGTTAAAGTCAAAATTTGTCCACTTAAACATATAAAGACAAGCGCGCGCGCGCACGCACGCGCACACACACGCACACGCACACGCACACACACACACACACACCAGGCCAAAAAGTTGCTCTCAACAAATTAGATGTGATCATGTGACCCTAAGCAGGCCCCAGTTCTGACTGCAGCTCCAGACTTTACCCACCTAAGGCGGCTTTGCAGATGAAACCGAGCCGCTCCATGCACGATGATAGGTGCCACACACCGTCAACCCCCTTGATAGTAACACAAGTATCTGCAGTCAGCAGCTTGGTGTCTGGGCCTTTGTCGGCCCAATTGGTGTAGTCCATTGGTGAACCATCGACCCAGTCCATCGAATCAGCTGGAACCAGAATAAACAGTTAAACTAAATGTGTCTATTGGTACCTGACTGATACACAACAGAGATGAAGTCTCACTGTCGATGTTGAAGTACAGCCCCAACCAGACAGAGTGGTGGAGGAACCCTGACAAGGACAGCTGCTCCAGAACAAAACGGCTCTCAGTCTCATTCTCAATAGTCAGGACATCTGAGGTTTTGACTAAAATGAAAAACAGCAGTTACTTATATATTATATGAATATTTTATCCTTTTTGATGAAAATCAGATAATATTTTCAATTAAACCCTATCTTATCATTTATGTATAAAGTGATAACTACACAGCTAGCCAATCTGCCATAAAATAATTATTAGATCCAATAAGAAAACAAAACTGCTCAGCATATACTGTGAATAAACAAACAGAGAAATTTATCAACCATGGCTCCATGTTGGTGGGTTTAGTTTTGGAACAATTGGGTTAGCTGTCCTATCTCTTGTTTTTAAGCTAAACTGGGCCCAGATATGATAAGCCTATGAGCTAGGTGCAGGCTGCAGCTTCACAGCTGCTGTTCAAGGAGTATTTACATTAAATAACATTGATAGGCTATGTTCTAAGTGGTATTGTGCTTTTGGGGTCTCTTCGTATCATTTAATGTTGTAGTTGGCAATTTACACTTCAGTCTGATTTTCTAAAATCTCTATTTAGTGTCAGCGCCTTGATTTTGTGCATAAGCATCAAATCACAAGGTGAGAAAATAAATCAGAAGTAATAACTTGTGAATACCTTACCCTTATGTTTACAGTGCTCCCTCGCCTCTTCAAAAGTACATTTTTCCACCACAGACTCAAAGTTGTAGCAGCCATTTTCAAAGGTCAGCCATGTGAAGGGACAAGGCGTCCCATTACAAATGTGCGGTTTACTGCCTGTTAGGAGACAGCAGCAGAAGACAAAATCTGGTGTTGATTTTCACACATTAGACCACGAGTAGAAAAAAAGATTTGGCATTCGAGTATTTGCTTTCCACTGAAATGGCACTGACTGGGTGGGGGAATGTGACACAGAGCTCCTGGTAGCGGAGTTTCACAGTCGGCTCTCCGCCAGCCTCCGTTCACGTCCATGTACACACACTCTCCTGTCACAAAATCATCATCGTCGTCAGCTGCATCCCAGTGTGTGTATACAGTGCCACTACCATCTGACCACTGATAATTGATGCCGCTCTGTAAAGATTCAGTCAGAAGAGAGTCAAGAGGCGACACTTTAACCACAAATTATCTTGTGAGTTGGGTTCAAAGTAAAATCAAGAACCTCAAGTATTATTTATATATTGGCAAAGGAATTTGATGGTCTCTGGCCTATTGGGTCTAAAAACATTTAAAAGAACAGAAATATTCACTTCCTGTGTTCATTTCTCTGCTGGATTAAGACATCCCATCAGGGCTGAGGAATAAATGGCTCTACATTTTAAATCTCTGGCAGTTTGCAGGGAAAGTGCATGTCTGCAAACAGAACATCTGCACACAGTGAAGCAGGGAAGTAAAAGCCCCTAAAATTCGCAAGAGACAACTGGAACTAAAGAAAATAAATAAATTATGTTATGTGGTTAGATTTCCATCTAGAGATTCTTCTGGGTTTTAATCAGACTACAAAATGTTTCTCATAAGCATTTAGTTCCAAGACAAAAAGCTAATTTTCTATTTTTTAAACAATATCAGAGCAGCTAAAACAGAATATAAAGCAGATGTGCAGTCGCTCAAATAGACAGAAACCGGACATACGGTAGAAGTGGATACATACGTCTCGACTGTAAAGTCCAATCCAGTGAGGGACAGCCAATCTATTGACAAGGACGGTAAGGAAAGCCTGGTGGTATGCATCTGTAATGCTCACTAGGTCAGAATCATTCTCCATGCACTTTTTCAGGGCGTCGTACCAGCTCAAGTTGCCAGACACAACATTGTAACTGTGGCTCCTGTACTCAATATTTTCAGGAAGAGGGTGGTAATAGGTGTGGGTTGGGGGTTTGGAAGTGTCTGCAACAAGAAAAAAATAATAAATGTAACAAGATGTTAACACTCTGGTAAAACTGCATCGTTTGAGTAAGTGAATGAATAAGAAAACTGAGAACATTTAAAACGAAAATCGTGTAAAAAACATCAATTATAAACACTAAAGTATGCTTGACAATCTGATGTACCTGATCCAATTACAGAATCACATTTTTGATCATTTCCCTTGAGTTCTTCAGCTCTTTATGTGATAGGGACTCTGGTTTTGGTTTGGTATTTGAGCGGAATGCAGATCAACTGGATTTAGACCCACTGATGGACTCTGTCAGCTGAGGTCACCTCTTCACGAGGCCAAAGTTCCTCAGCTGCTTTGGCCACGTGTTCAGGTCTCAATGATAAAACACTCGTCTGTGGGACACGTACCTCTTTTGTAAACGCGAGGTTAAACTCTCAACATTAATAAGCCTTGCTTCCATAATTAAGGTTGGAAGCAACCGCTCGCGTTTTGAACATGCAACAGCTGGCCAATAGAGCTAAAACACATTATTTTGCAACTATTCTTCTCATGGTATTGTTTAATCATATAAAAAATTCCCATCTCACCCTCCGTGGGTGGTCTCATCCTTCCAAGCGAGCAGGGATTTTAGAGAGGAACAACATCATATATGACATCAAACACTGATATCAAATGTGATTCCTTCTTTTTGGTTTAATTCAATTCAAATTCAAAGATACTTTATTAATCCCAGAGGGAAAGTAAGAGTTTCAGTACACACAATTCTGAGATCAGACATACATACATAATGACGGGTGATATAGAAAAAGCGTGAACTTTAAAGGAACAATGTGTAGTTTTTATCGTTAATCTCTGGAAATATTCATCAAAAAGTTGTTGAAAATGAATTAAATGATGCCCAATTGTTGAAAATTATTGGCGGCTTCTTAGCATTTAACCATAAAAATCAAGTCTAAAATCCATGGGAGTGGGTCTAAGTCTCAGGGTGACACCATATTAGATGCCATGTTTCCTTCTACAGGAGCCTTTGAGGACAAAATGCATTTACTGATTTATAACAAACGGTTACAAAAGTCTCACCATTCATAAACGTTGTTTTACACATTTACCTCTTCACTCATTGCCACTGATACAAGGGAGTCTGATGTGCTTGTCATTTTTGCTGACGTTTGCACGCCCCTTTTGACCCTAATGGGGATCCGTTGGTAAGGTCTTACTCCAACACAGAAATACAGCTTGGTTGCAATAATTTAGATATCTACTGCCCCCATCGCCAGGAAAAATACACACTGTCATTTTAAAGTCTCAAAGGATTTTGTGATCTCGCGAGTCCAGGGAGGAGTACTGAGAGAAAGTCGTTCCGTAGCCAAGATTCTCCCGGTGTGTACTAGACCTCATTGAAGCTCGCGAGTAAACTGTTCCGCTGCTGTTCGGCACCACTGATACTTCCAGGTTTGAAATAAGGGTTAAAAAAATCATACATGATTCCTGAAAGGAGGAAATATAATTGCTGCTGATGAGTGCTAAGATAAAACTATAAACCAGAGTGGCCAACAAGTGCAAGAAAAAAACAGTCCTGGAACTAAATCAGATGAGTGAGAGAACATCAGAAGGTAAAAACCAAATGGAACCATACCTTGAGGTTTCTGACAAACAAACCCGTATCCACTCTCGCTGCACCTCTCATCGTACCACTTCCCAGTCAGGTGGAAGTTGTGGTTGTTTGACAGAACAGTGCAAAGTGGTTCATCAGCATCTCCAGTGAGCCACTCGTCCTGCTGAGAGTTGAACACAAGCGATCACACACACACCTACCGACAGAAACATCTTTGTAAAACTTCACGCTGTGCTGTCACCAGCAAACTTCTTCCAGTTTTTTCATTTTCTATCCTTCCAAGTCTAGTTGGAGGAAAACTCACTCATAATTAACCTAAATGGGCCTTCTTCTTCCGGCTCTTGGAGTACAGATGCTTTTTTCCTCCTCTCCTCCCTATCTTATCCCAAGACTCTTTGTCTGTCTTTGGGTGTACGGCGCTTCTGCATTTTTTCTGGAAATTATTAAAAATGGATCTGGTCAGTTGGTCTCTCAACGCGACTGACAAAATTTTTTCAATGATGAGAACGGGAGAAGGGGCTCCCGGATGCCCCTCTGGGACAGAGCCAGCTGGGCATATCATGGACTTCTGGAAACAGTGGAACCTGATATGCCTCTCTCAACTGTCTGTAGAGGATTGGGAAGGCGTATGGATATTCGTAGTGTTGGTGACAGGTTTCTTGCTGTTTGGCCTGAGCGGTTACCTGGCTTACCGGAAAATTAATGAGCTGTCGAGGAATATTTGCTCAATCCTGGAGCTCAGGGATGGATTACACCGCGCTGTGAACGCACAGACTCATAATTGTCAAGATGAGCCATAAGCTTGGAACTTTGGTTGAGATTCAGACTCTGGCACAGAAGGTGGATTCGATCGGGGAGAAAGTTGACGTATCAGCACGGATTGGGAGAGATTACGCCATTATTGGATTTAGAGAGGTTGAGGACCAACGGAACTTTAAGACAGGGAGGAAATTATCTCTGTGTGGCCCCAAAACAAGTTCTTATCTGAATCTGGTGCCCTTGAGCCTGTGAGGCTGAAGTGATTACTCCCCCTCAGAAGAAATGTGGAATGCTGCCGTCGCCATGGCAACTCTGTCTCCCTATCCCAGCCTGGGCGGGACTGCGACCGGTGAAGGCCGTTGAACCGTTTCCAGGAGTCACTGTGCTCTCCAACCCAAATACCTCCTTCCCCTGTCCAAACGGAGGTGACGAGCGCTGCTTATCGTGGCTGCATGCACTGAAGTGAGGAGAGTCCCCAACCCTACCTCCCCACCTAGTGGACACTTATGTTGTGTAATGTCTGAAGTCTGTTGCATTTCTGTCTGAGGTGTTTTTTGCATAGCAAAGCTGCCCTCCCTGTGGAGGGTAACGCTGAAGTGCCTTTTTTCCTCCACCTGACCCAATCCTCATGTAAACCCTCTGATCTCTATTAAGGTAGCGCGACTCGGGTTGTGAATGACCACAATCACCAATTTTTGTCATGTGTCTTTGCCTTTGTATGTATGTCTGATCTCAGAATTGTGTGTACTGAAACTCTTAATTTCACTCTGGGATTAATAATCTTTGAATTGAATTTTTTCCAGCGGGAGAAAAGCGGAGCACTCAGAGAAAACCCATGGTGAAATCATTTCCAACAGATGGCGCTCTGAAAGTAGCTCTTGGGGAAAAAGACCACCACCATGCAGGCCTGGAAAGAGGAACATCTCAGGTTTTAGATGTTCAAGTCTTGTTTTGTTCTGCAGACATCTGAAGAACACCTGATAATCTAAGGAGGCCTACTGTGAGGTAGCTCTTTGGTTCAACTGGAGACCAGTTGGTGTAGCTGACTGGTTTCCCATTAGTCCACTTCATGGTGTCCTCATCCCGCAGACCAATCCACACGCCTACGGAGTGTCCCTGGAGCAGCATGGTGATGTAGGCTGGATAATTGAAAACATAAGCAAACCAGAGCAGTTGTGGTATTTGTTGAAAATTAAAATGAGCTGAGGCAAGGCTCCTTTTGCGTGTCTACCTTGCTCAATCTCATCTTCTATAGCAACCAGAGAGCCTTCAAACAAAGAGCAGATGGACTGGGCATCCTTCCAACTCTTCCCTTCTCGTGGACCGTCAGGGAGGTGAAGCAAAAGACACTGCAAACACAAACACACACATGCATGCATGAATATCATCGAACAAAATAATCAGAAGATGTCAGGATATAAAGTTTAGAAAGTTGGGGGTCAAAGTAAAAAAATTGTGACATTTATTAATCAGCTTACTGCAAGAGTTTATACAAGGGAACCTGATTTATTTAAAAGCTGATCCAGCGGACAACATCAGTCTGTGTGTGTGTTTTCTTCTACTACTAACCACAGACCTCACCCAGAAACCATGAATATAAACACAAACATCTTGCCTAAACCTCAGAGGCAGCTCAGAACTTACAAAAGTGATTGTTTAAAAATCTGTGGGAGAGGAAAAAGCACAAGAGGCGCTTCTGGCTGATGGTGATATCATGATTATACAGTTGAAGTAAAGAGTTAAATATACAACTGATTGTATTAGCGCGCGTGTGTGTGTGCTGGAGCATTCATTTGAACCTTGTGTCCAAAGTACAGCCAGTTCTCAGGACATCCTCCTATGTAGTGTGGCTCTCGGGGGGTTTCCACCACAGACACGGTCTTTCTCTTGCACACGTAGCCGTGGAGGTCACTGCATTTACTTGTTGACCACTTCCCTGCAGCAGACTAGAAAATCTCAACAGGGACAAAAAGCATGAATCTGTATGTCGGTGTGTAGTAAAGCCTTTACCTGTTGAAGACGACATAGTAACACACACCTCATATTTTCTGAGGTTGGTGTGAAAACCTCCATCAGCCCAGTTATGAAAGTCTATCTCTGTACCGTCACTCCACCTGGAAAAACAAACCCCACTGGTCTCGTGTTTTGTCTTTTTGCTGTTTTCTCTGTGGAGCAACATCCCAAAAGGTTTCCACACAAAATCTTTCTCAATTATTGCTGCTGGAGATGCAGTTAACAAAATAAATAAAAATTATAATAATAATAAACTAATAAAAGTTTGTTGATACTTGAAGACAAAGTTCACTCGTTTTTTCAACACATCTGAATTGGTCTCTAGTATAGATGAATGCCTTGTGAGTGGATCTCTGTGGGGGAAAAGCTCTCGTTCTCCTGTTTCAGACAATGGAAGTAAGAAAGAAGAGAGAGGAGGGGACGGCAGGCTTCGGAGTTTCATTCCCTAATATTTGGACATTTCACTTCTGACTGGCTAACAACAACGCAACTCTGCCACTGATTCCATTTGCTCTGCTACGTTGATGTTTTATCTCTACAAATAACACATGCCTCCACAAATAACACATGCCTGAAGGAATTCTGCCATGTGGTGGAGTTGCTAATGCTAACATTAGCTTCTACTAGCAGAGACATGCTCTGCTCTCTCCTGGATGCTAAACCAACAGCCTTCCCCTAGCCTTCTAACTCATCTGAAGAATCAAGGCTAGTGATTTTCGTTTTACTCTTATATTTGCAAACCAATTATTTTGCACTTTTAATTAACACTTCCTGGCTAATTTCTTTAGAAACCTTAATAATTTTAGTGTCCTTTATATCAGCAACTCTTTTAAACTACAATTAATTTTTAACTTTTCAGCTGAATGACTCAAACCCCAGTGTGTTTATTTGAACTCTTTACTAAAATGTCTCCAAAAGACACACCTGACGACCTCTCCGGGTTGGACGATGGACAGGCCGATCCACCAGTCCGACTGTCCCAGAGAGAGCTGTAAAACAAAAACAGAAAAAGTGAATAAGTAAACTTCATTTTTGCTCTGCTACTGAGAGCCATCCTCACGCGTCTGGCAGCTCACAAGCATTCATTCAGGCACACTCCTTGGCTGTGGCTCTGCTGCTTTCATCATCTTGTTTTGTTCCTATTATCCCCTAACAAGCCTCAACACCACAAGAGACTTCTTCAGTCTGATCCAAAGAGCTGCTGCCTGCAGACGGCCTTCTTCTTACTCCTCTGTGTGGAGGCACTCGAGCGTTAAAGTGCCCACATTTTAGGGGCATTTCAGCTTGTTGCTGTGTTTCTGCAAACACTTGAGTTTGTATGAGAAACAAGAGTGTCATTGTCTTCAGGTTTGTTGATTTTTCACTGCATGCCAACTAAATAATAGCTCTATAACACCATTCAGTGACTACAAAACACTGATTAAGTAGACTCTATGGCTGTGTACTTTTGGGTCCACTCTACCTTTGTTTCTTTGGAACATTGTTTCCATCAAAATTTATAATATATATATATATATATATATATATATATATATATATATATATACATATATATATATATATATACATATATATATATATATATATATATATATATACATATATATATATACATATATACATATATATATATATACATATATATATATATATATATATATATATATATATATATATATATATATATATATATATATATATATATATATATATATATATGGACAGAGGCAGTGACAAACCTGCCGTAAGCGCTCTTTGATGAAGTGCAGCTCCTCTCTGGAGTGAAGAGCCAGCAGGTGGGCTCCCATCATCTGACAGGCCAGAGAAACAGAGTGCCAGTCAAAAGGCTGCTTGGCCAGCAAGTACTCAGCTCCACGGTAAAACACCCAGGGCTCGCTTTCTGCAGGGAGATCAGTTACAGGAAGATGATGAGTTTCCGGTAATCAAATCAGAGTCACGCTTTAATTCACATCCTTGGGAGCCGACTGGCTGAAGACATTTCACATCAGGAGTGAAGCTAATTAGAAAAAATGCAATATTGATCATTTTTTATTACAGCATATTAAAAATAAATAGGTTTTACCCACATTTCTCTTTCTGTCATAACAGAACACTGTCTATGTGGTTTATTATCTCAGCTGTCATGTACATTAAATCTGGGCTCTGTGGGCAGTGAGTGAAGCACAATTTACCTTTGGTCATTCCTCATTTCATATACTGTATTTCCAACAAGACAGACTATCTTGTGATGCTTTAAATGATCTAGATCAATATGTTTTCAGTCTTTCAGAATGTGGTTGAAAAAATGGGTCTCCCACTGAGATAGGAGCTAAATAAAAATGAAAATAAGACTAGAGGCGATGCTGCTGCGTGTATCATTTACAGGACTTAAGTATGTTTTTCATCTGATTTTGTTTGCTTTGGTCTGAAACTCATCTACTCCACTGAGACACCTGGTGTTTTACTGCACCTTTGAGGGCTTTTATGAAAGAGATTCATAACATTTCATGATGTTAATATGAAATGTTGTTAGTGGACAGATAATTAAAGAAAGTTAGTCAAAATGAAAATGTTACTTACGCTCCGTGTACCAGTAGGGGTTTATCAGTTTATCACCTGCAATTTAAAGCAGAGTTACATGAGCAAGGCAGTGCTGATCTGTGTGTGTGTGTGTGTGCTTGTGTATGTGTTTACCTCTGGACAGCTTGCAGACCCACTCATGTTTGGTTTCACAAGGCCGTGGCATGAGAGCATTGGTCAGGTCACTGTACACGGCACAGTCCCTCCTGTCATCCTCCTCATTTTTGTCTTCAATAAAGGACATCACCACCTACACACACACACACACACACACACACACACACACACACACACACACACACACACACACACACACACACACACACACACACACACACGGGATGACACCTGCAACACCACACATCTTGTACTACTCGGATCAAGGAGGTGCTACCAGTGTACTTACTGAGGAGCCATCAGACCACTCCCAGGCACCAAGATGCTCGGGGTTTCTCTTATTTAAACCCACCCAGAACCAGCGGCCCTCTGTTCTAAATACAACACAAAGAAAGGAAGCAGAAAACAAACTAGTTGAGTTGTCTGTAATCGCTGTCATCAACTGTAAAATTCAGCCAATGATCACTCTTATGCACCAGCAAGCCACACACTGAAACTAGAACAAAGCTTTTGTGTGTTTAGCTGCCAGAGTAGTTTATTTGTATGGTAGGGTGAGGCAGGGAGGGTATGGAGTGGAGCATACAAACTCCTCCCTCAACTCTCCGCTATTACAAAGCAGAAAGCTACAGAACTTTAACCCACATCTTAAACCGTGGAAGTCCCCCTACAAACACCTTTATCAGGCCCTATGACAGTGCTTAACCGGTGAGCCCCGAGTGCCAGCACATACCCTTCAAACATGGTGGTGAGGAGGCGTTTCACAAACACCTGCTCCTCATAGTGCTGGAAGCTGGCCAGCTGAGCCCCAAGCGCCTGGCAGAAGAAGTCTGCTTCCACCCAGGAGCGCTTCATCAGGACCTTCTCATCGTGGAAAACCTACAGGTGCAACAAATCAGGTTAGTTAGGGGCATTACACCGAGTTTCTGTCTGTTATTATACATGTTTCAGCAGCTTTTCAGTTATAAAGACTATGTATGCAAGAAGAACACAACAGGCTTAGATCTGTATTTGACACATTTTGGTTCATTTAAATAACATTAACTTCATTAAAACTCTTAAATAACATCTACTCACATCCTCGCCTACAGAACTGGACAGTTCAGTTGATTAACTGAATCATTAAAACAACAACTTTTACAAAGCCACATTATCCAGAAACCTGTTGTTGAAACAGAAGAACTTATTTTAGGCTCCTGACAAACATTGATTCTGGAATTATAAAAGCCCACTGAATTACTGGAAATAAATACTGATTTCACGGGTCGTCAAAAGCAGACTGCTATCATACAAATAACATGAATGCGTGTCAGAACTGCATGATGCACTTTTTAAAATCAGCTGGGTTAGAAAAAGCAAACATTTTTTAAAACACTAAAGCACATGTAATGAGATATGAGTAAAATAATAAGATAAAGTAAAGCTCATATTGCTCACTTGTGTTTTATTCTGAGATTGTGTGTTTTAACTCATTGTCCTAATTAAGGTTTACATATGTTTAATCTTTGAATCAAAATGACTCAACAAGAAAAGTAGGCAGAATATCAGAATAAAAATGTCACCTTAAAACAGTGGAGCAGTCCAGATTGTGATTCCCAGCCTGGAGGACAGGGGGCGTAAGCATCAATGTGGTGCTCTGGCAGCTGGGCATCATGGTAGCTGCTGATGCTCTGCTTACACACCGACAGGGCCTTGTGGGACTTGCAATCTTTTACTTCCCACCTCCCCAGAGCAGCTCCGCCAGACATGGCAACACAGCCACCAGTACTGACTGGTAACCAGAGGAAAACATAAGGCTTGTTTACTTTTATGATTCACCCAAACCAGCTCTTATTAGTAGCAAAGTAAGCAGCTGCAAACTATTAGCCACCTGGCTGATGTTTGTTCCAGTTGGTGAATGTGAGAGGCAGAGAGGAGCCATTGTGAGGAAGCCAGCTGTACTCTCCTTTCCTTGCCTGGTCCATGAGGCCAATCCAGTAAAACAAGCTGCTGTTGGCTCCACTGGCACTCAGCAAACTGTTGACGAAGGCCTGTTCAAACCTGACCGTGTGAGGAGGACAAAAAGGTGAGCGGGACATCTTAAACACTGAAACAAGCTAAAAGCACACAGCACCTGTTTTCCACAGAAAGGAGCGGAGCTTTGCAGTAATATCCCATCTGCGCATCTTCATGGTTCTGTTCGTGACCGGTCACCATGTAGCAGGAATGTCCATGTCGCTTCCACCCCTGGAAGAAAAATCCATATTCAGTGTGGTCACCCTGTATTACCATGGAAGAAATAATCAATCCTAATGTGGCCTTTTAAACTCTAGTACTTATTTACTCTCTGAACAGACTGATACTATATTTCCAGGTTTTGTTCATCCTAAGAACTGGGATTAGCCCAACAGTAGTATTTATGTCTTTACTTATCTCTAATTTGAAGCTTATTCTGTTAAATTATACCGAGAATAAATGATCCTACTCAGCTAAATAACAGTAAAGTCATATTTGAGCTTGTGATCCAAACCTGATGTTTCAAATTTACTCTCCTTAAATATTGAACTATGGATGTCCCGATCCGATCACATGATCGGAAATCGGCCCCAATCACGTGGTTTCAGACTGATCGGGACTCGGGCTTTACTTCCCGATCCGGACTCAGATACTGGGTTCAAATTACAGGAGAGCAACTTGGTTCGGTTGTCAGGCTCCCCTGATGCCCTTAACTTACACACCCAGAAGGAGCACAAAAAAGATCCAGTTTCTACCTATATTATATTATTTATGTGGACTCAGCGTAGCGGGGATTCTTTTGAGCAGAGATGCAGAGAGCGGCAGGCAGACCGCTGATTATTCATGAACGCCAGCTGCAGTCTGCACACGGCCACATTAACATTTTCTAAGTGGCGTCACCAAAAAATCTATAATTAACACACAGTCATTCGTGTCCGTTCATTTTCTCTCTGGTAAGTTCTGTCTGTATTTGAGCATGACGTGTGGACGCGCTCGTGCTGCCCCCGCTGCAGCGCTCGTCACTGGCGCAGCGCACACTCCGCTTTCTTTGTGGTCAATAGATCAATTTGATCTGCTAGTTAAAATGTTACTAGGTGAAAAAGAAGGAAGCAGGCTGGAGTTTTTCTGGAGGACTGGGAGATGCAGGAAGATCAGAGACAGACAGGACAGGAAGATAGGAAAATGAAAACCAAGAAAACAAAATAAAGTTCTTAAAAAATAAAATGTAGGTAGATTTATCCCACTACACGTTTGTACCTGTATAGAGCAATAATGTATCAGCATGCAGTATTTATAGAGTTGATACAATGGAGATCATCTTCAAAACTCCGTCCCATGCCCAGGGACGTATCTAAGCATTTTGGGGGCCGAGGCAAAATAGACCCCGCCAGGTATTTTAAGTTTAAGTGCTATCTGTTTATATATTAGACTTTTTATATTTGCAATAAAGTCCAAAAGTGAAGAATTTATGTTATTTATAACCTGATTGTTCAAGCTACCTCACAGAAGTGATCTGTTGTTAAAAAATAATATAAAAAGGTAATTAAATAAAAAAAAAAGGAATATTCTGGAAAAGTTTCTTCCTTTTCTTTATTTTTATTTTTTTATGTATCGAAAGTATCGGACCGGGACTCGGTATCCGCAGATTCTCAAAATCAAATGACTCGGACTCGAGGGCAAAAAAAACTCTCAGATTTAATTAATTGAGACCTTTTTATGTTTTGTTTTAGTTTAGTTTAACATTTAACTCTCTGTTTATTTACATATGGCTGTATTGAGCGTCCCCTGGAGAGGGTGTTTGGACAAGTGGTGAGTATTTTCCACCCCTAGAAGCAGAGATGCTTACACACTCACATGAAAACTTTGGTAATGCTGGTTAGAAAAAACAGCAGCTGAGGAAAGGTTTAGTAATGATTACCTACCTTAAACTAACCCTGACCCTAACCCACACAGACAGCAGAGTGAACTGAGAAACACAACTTTGTTTCAATTACCCTGCTGGTAATATTCACACTGCTCGAGCACGTTGGGTGATTTTACAGCCTCGGGGTAACTTATGGCCTCATGGCCTCGGAGAAGCCTGGTTCATGCTTCTCCGTCAGCTCCAACAGGAACAGACACGCACGCATGGACGGAGACGTTTTGCTCTCATACTTCTTCGTCTCCTGGGGAGTGTTGCAAAGCAATTCCCCACCAGGACAACAGAGGGCGTAGCGCTGCTCTGTGGTACCCTGTCATGTATCCCGTCCAAGATAGTGTGTTTATATTGTGTTTTTTTGTATATAAGAGACTTATTAACACGGACAAATTTATCTCTCATTCTCCTCCACCTCATCATGTGCTCCCCACCTCTAAACCCAAGTTTCCTGTCATTTCCGTCCATAAATAAAATGCCTGCCGCGCATCTTTTCACTCCTCCAGTCACGGGGGAATTAAACGTTCATATTTTTAGAGTATTTTCGCGGGGTGTTCTTCAAGCTTCTCCGTGTCTGCTCCTAGGTATTCTCGGCTCTCTTTATGTTTTTGAGGGCGCAATGGTGGCGCTGTAGACGACGGCGGTGCCCTGACCAATCACAAGCCTGCGTTCTCCGTCTCGACGGATGGATGTTTAGAAAAGAGAACTCAACTCCGTACGTCCTTGCGGAGCTCTCCAGCAGGCCCGCAAGGACGGATAATGGCGTTGCGTGTCTCCGCACTGACGCAGACGCATGAATTAAGAAGTAGCCAGATGAGTCAGGAGTCTGATATTCTTGTAAACAGAGTAAGAGAGCAACATGCATGCCAGACAATACGTCAGTGGTCGAGTGAATCAGCCCTTTGTGCTTCTGAACGTGCTACTTGCTCTGACGTTGAACTGCGGCAGACGAGTGTCCAGATCTGCTGGTGGATGCCATGCAGCTCTACAGCAAGGACTCACAAACCAAACGACTGTTCTCAAAAGGATTTAAACATTATTTTAGAAACTCAGCAAACCTATTTGCTCTGAACAAACTCAGACACGAAGGTTACTTTCCAGTTTTTAAGCTCTAATTGTGCAGACTGGGATTAAATGTTGCATAACACATCACCTCTGAGCCCATTGATGACGTTTTTGCACACAAACACAGCAGATCCGTGCATAAGAAGGTGCAGCATGTGTGTACTTGTGCATATTCTTACAGCAGGACATCCTTCCTCCCAGGTCCCATGATGCTGAATGGGACTCCGATTTGCTCTTCTGCACACAGCAGGGTGTCGCTCATCACACGGAGCCAAAAGCCAATTACCTTTCTGTGACAGAGGTTGGAATTTTACTCCAAATGTTGCATGAAAACGTGAAGTTTTGTTGATAATTCGTCACATTTCATTTGTAAAATACCACTCTCCATGCAACCTATTATTCATATTTAAAAGATATCCTAGTCAAAAGAAACAGATCTGAATTATTTTCTCTCTTTATTATTATATTAAAAAAAGTTGTAATGTGTCAGTTCTGTCACAGGGTGTCCCACCTGCCTGTCCACTTTGACACAGAGCGTCATGCCCGTCAGGTTGTGAATAGGGTGATACTGGTGCCACAAAGTGAGAGTTACTGGTGAGCCGTCCGACCACTCAACAGCTGGTGATGACGCTCGTTTCCACAGGCCAATCCAGACCTCCGTACTCTGCCGAGAATCTGACACACACATCACAACTTTCACACACCGCACAAGCTTTTAATTCATCTACACCAATCAGGAGTTGGATGCTTCTTCTTACCATTAGCCAGGAGGGTGAGGAGCATTTCCACCTCTGATAGGGAGTGGAGGCTGGTAAGGTTTGCTTTGTGAGATCTGCAGATCTGCGAGGATTCCTCCCAGCTTGCAGCTCCCTTTTCCGGCAGCACCAGGTAGCAGAAACCATTATGAGGCCACCAGCCATCAGCGCACTCAGTATGGACGTACTGCCAGTTCTCTGAAAGAGGAAGAACCAGGAAAGTGAGAAAAGAACTCAGAACAAGACAGACCAGAATAACACAAACTCACAGCAGCCTGTGTTGGACAAGTCTCCAGCAGTGCAACAGAGAGGAAGGTCAAAAGTTGACTCGAAGCACAGCTGGTGAGTGAATGCAGCTGGGATAAACTCAACTAGACTTAATAACTCGTATGCATTTTACCCCTAAGACTAAGCGATAAGTGTCACAGCAGTGAGAAACATCTCTTCAGCCCCCGTGTTATTTAATGACGTGTCTGTGTGATGTGGTTTCGTGTGATCTCACCTAGTGGCTCAGCTCTGTGGCTGTCGTTCTGCGTCTTCTTGCAGATGTAAGGCATCGCCGCCTCACAGGACAGACTCTGCCACTGGCCGCCGTAGGCCGAGTTATACACTCCACACTGTCTGTTGTTCTCTAGTGGGCTGGCATCTAGAGCTAACAAACAAAAATAAGTTTAGTCTGCATCAGTTCTTTTTCCTCTTCCTTTAGGGTTGCACCCTGACTTCAGAATGAACTTCCTTTATCCTTACGTAGTATTAACTGTCTGGTCACCTCTAAAAAAGCAGCTGAAGACCCTTTTTCTAAAGCTGGGTTTATCTAAATATTTTGTTTTCTTCTTTTTTTAACTCATTAACTGTGAATGATGACTAAAGCCATCAATTGAGTTTTTAACAGAGGGCTTGGGATGGAGCTAGTGCACCTTGAGAGTTAAACATCACCGTGCAAAAGTTGATTTTCACCCGTGTGTGTGTCACACGTCACGTCATGAAGCAGATCGTTTTGGGACGCCACTATGCTTAAAACAAGCCGCAAACCGGAAAAGCTTCTGCAGCTCACACTTTGTAATCGGAAGGTTGCAGGTTCGAGCCCCGCTCAGTTTGTCACTGCTGTTGTGTCTTTGGGCAAGACACTTAACCCACCTTGCCTGCTGGTGGTGGTCAGAGGGATAGGTGGCGCCTGTGTACGGCAGACTCGTCTCTGTCAGTGCGCCCCAGGGCAGCTGTAGCTACAATGTAGCCAATCACCACCAGGGTGTGAATGTGTGTTAATGACTGACTGTGTTGTAAAGCACCTTGGGGGGATCCAGAACTCTAGAATTTGCTTACTCAAATGCACACCATTTATTTGAAAACGGACTGTGAAAGAACGGAAAAAGCCAGAAACACACTGGTTCTTCCTGATGTTAGAAGTGAGTCTACTCTTTCTTTTGGTAGTTTTGCTGTTTACATGATCATAGAGCACAATATTCTGTGACTGTTAAAAAAATTGTAAAAATGCTTTTTAAAAATATGCTGCAGCCAGGGGTTTTCTGTTTAGATAACAGTTGGCAGTGAATGAGTTAACTCAAATTTATAATCACCTTTCATTTTTTGTGATATTTATGATCATTTCATAATTTCACGACTGTTTTCTGATTTAATTTGATTTTATGATATTTGCTGTTTTTGTTTTTAAAAGCATTTTGATTTTATGACTTTGTGATTTGTTTAGTTTTGTTGATCTCTGTGAAGTACCTTGTGATTATCTTTCAGTGATGAGTGCTATATTCAGTGCTCAGCATAAATGAGTACACCCCACTACATTTGTAAGGAAACCTTGAGTTTCCTTTCTGAATCAACATTTTCTATGAGACACCATACTACAAAATACTCCCACAATTGTGGGCCACTGATTGCAAATAAGATTTGTTAATTTGCACACACAAAAAAGTGATTTTCCTTACAAATCCATTCAAGCCCATGTTGAAAAAGAAAGAAGAAGAAAGAAGAAGAAAATATCATTTCTATAGCGCCTCTAATCACGAGGCGCTTCACAAAAACAAAAATAAATAAATAAATAAATAAATAAAAATAAAAAATAAATGTAAAAATATTAAAAAGCATTTAGAAAATGTTTGAAAATATATTTAAAATGAGCAAAAATAGGCAATTGGGATTGGGATGAAAATGTAGTTTAACTGAACGTAACTGACCTGATCAGTAACAAACAAAACAAAAAAGTCATTGATTAGTTTATTCATCATCCTCCTGTGCCCTGAAACCACTGAAGTCCTCTTCTTCAGTGTCGGAGTTGAACAGCCTCAGAAGAGCTTCGTCACATACCTTTTTTGTGGCGATGCCAGTGTCACTGTCTGTGTTGTTGTCATCATCCTCGGGTGAAGCTGGCTTGAATGAGTTCTTCCCGCTGCCGTCTCCAGCGTCGAACCATGGAATCATTCATGCCAAGCTTACGTGCGGCAGCACTGTTTCCCTCCTTTACTGCCAGATCGCTGGCCTTCAACTTAAATGCGGCATCATATGAACTCATACGTTGTAGTTTCCATGATGAGGGGGTATGGATTTGAAAGAAATTCTTCGTCGTGCCGGCTGCTTGCATGTGCTAAATTAAAATGAACACTTTCTTCGATTTCCACTTTTGACTTCCACCTGTTTCACTTTCTGCTAAAGCGCCCCCTGGCAGGTGAAGGAAAATCTTCAGTAAAGCCGCACCTCATTATAAGCAGCATGGTTCAAGCGTGGGAAAAAAGTAGCGGCTTATAGTCCGGAAAATACGGTACATGGTACCTACAGTGAAACATGGAGGTGGCGGTGTCCTTATGTGGGGCTGCATGAGTGCTGCTGGTGTTGGGGAGCTGCATTTCATTGATGGCATCATGAACTCAACAATGTCCTGCTCTATACAAAAGGAGAAGATGCTACCATCACTCCATGCCCTTGGCCATCATGCACTTTTCAAACATGACAATGATGCCAAACACACATCTAAAGCTACTGTTGTATTTCTGAAGAAGAACAGGGTGAAGGTGACTGAATGGCCAAGTATGTCTCCTGATCTGAACCCAATCAAATTCTGAAGCAGCAAGTTGAGCATCACTCTCCATCCAGCATCCAGGCTCTAAAAGAGGCTATTCTTGAAGAATGGAAAAAGACAAGATGTTGCAATATGTCGCCAGCTTGTTCATTCCATGCCTGGAAGACTTGGTGCTGTCTTTGAAATTCATGGCGGTCATACAAAATACTAGATGTAGTAGTTTTTGTTGTGGGGTGTATTCATTTTTGCTTCAACAAATTTTAGTAAAACTGAAGATTTTGTGATCTAAGTTATATTATTAACCTTAATTTCATCTTATGGAGTTAAACACGTGTTCAATAAAACCCAGCCTTGTGAAAAATCTGGAAATTATTCCTTTGTTCACTGAGCTACTGATTAAATTCATACTTTTTAAAGGGGGTGTACTCATTTATGCTGAGCACTGTAAAACTACTACTTACTACTAGGGTATACAAATCATGACCTGCAAGTCACAAATAAGTAAAATCAAAGATTTCTTTAAAAGAAAATACAGGAAAAATAAACATTTCCACACTAGAATCCTGGAACAGTGAAGTAATCAAATTTAGTACCTCCTAAAAGAAGGCGAGCTGGTTGAATAAAATCACTACCTGTGGTGAAATTCACCAGTGCTAAAGGTGCTCCATCAGACCACTGCCAGCCATGTCTTTCCTCAAGGTGGTTCAGCCCAATCCACACCATCGCTCCAACACTAGCCAGACGATCTGCCCCAAACAGATGATGTCATTTAAAGTCACAAATAGGGCTGCACGATATTAGGAAAACCTGCGATGCATGATACAGTGATTAATATCATGATGACGATATGACTTGCAATAAATAAACAAATACGTAACTCAAAAACAAATTTTTTTAAACCATCATAAAAAATGGAAAAAGCAAAAATTGTGATCAAAAGATGTGAGGAAAGGGAGAAAGGAAATGAAGAAAAGGCAATCAGTGGATCCCAGGAAATGCAGAACGAAGCTAACTCAGGTTTTTGCTAGCCATCCAAATTAAGTGCCGTCTGTCTAGGGGGCGGGCATCTAGCCTATACAAACCCACCCGATTGGCCAAATGAGTGAAGAGCTCTATTTGACTTGTCAAGAACTTCATGCATCCGTTTGACAAAATGCATTATGTGTAGCAAACATTTTAATTGATCATTCATTGCGTTTTTTTCTGTTCTTTGCAATATGCATATTATTCCACACGCAGATATTGCGACGACGATACCCTATTTACAAAGCAACATTTGATAGATCATTTACAATAACAGTAACCAGTACTAGTGTGTTGTAGTGTCGGGAAGTGTTACAGATGCTTACCGTGGACGTAGCGGTGCTCTGCCAGGCTGGTGATGCTGAGCAGGTTTCCACCTTGAGCCTGGCAGGTGGACAGCGCCTGACTCCAGGTCAGGATGGTGTACAAGTTAAACTGGTAACACGCACCCAGATCCTGGTTAGACTCCCAGAAGTGCTCACAACCTGAAGCTACAAGTGAAAACATGAGCATGACTGCCAACGATGGAAGTGAGGTTTTAAAATGTAAATGTTGTGTTTTCAGGTTAAAATGGAATGTTCAAACTTTTCAACACAAAAACCAAAAACCCACAGGCCAAATGCATTTAGATTATTTTTTCCACCAAAATAAAAATAAATTTGTTTTTAAAATATGTTCAAAAATACATTAAACACGCAATAACTTTGTAAGTTTCATACAAAACTTAACTTTAGTATAAAATGAAAATTATTAAAGCTGAATTTACATTATTATGTCCACACACCACAGATATTTACGCTTCTGAGATGATTACATTCACTGTCAAATGACTAAACAAATACACATCACCCCCTCACCATCTGAAACAGGCAAATAAATGGAGACAAGATGGAGGGAAAAAAAATCGGTTGTTAATATCGGCCCGGTTTTATTTATCGGGCCGATACCAATATGTTAAAAAAATGACTAACATTGGCCGATACCGATATTGATGCCAATATATTGTCCATCCCTAATAATAACGCAAGTACATCATTTATATGCAACAATATTGGAGCAGGCGGAGGGAGACTAGGGGTCTTAGCACACCTCTGTTGTTGCTAGGCCTCCTGGGGCTGGAGGCTAGGAGGAAGATCTGGCCGTCTGGTTGGGGTCTGGGGTGGTGGGTTGCTTTGCTCGGCGTTGGGCGGGGAGCCTGCTCATCAGCACCCCAGCAGAAAGGGTTGAACTCTGGGAACCAGTAATGGTTGTAACCCACTGCGCCTCTTGAGGGGGGCAGGGGCTTTTCTGGTCGTGGGCTCCTTGGGGTCCCTGTGCTCAGGGGCAGCTCCTGGATCTCTGGGACTTGGAGCTCCCTCCATCTCCTACACATCTATGGGGGGCAGATCTGTGGCCCCTCACACTGTCTATTCAGTGGCGGATTTAGCAATTTGGGGGCCCAAGGCGAACACAGACATGGGGCCCCTTACACAAAATTTTCGACAATCTTACCTTTAACTAGATTTGCGAAACTCTCCCCTCTTCTGACATGAGTTATTTTCCCTTTTTATTAGTCCTCCTCTTTTTTCCTGTATTTCCCTCCCTTTGAGTGCTTTCAATATTTGTTCTGCTTTCTTTTTCCTGTCAGTGCTCCTGTGCTTTTGCCTTTGTTTTTTTTTTCTATTTTCCATTTTGGTCCATGTTTTATGAAGCATGCTGCTTCTTTCTCTTATTGGAGCCACTAAGATAACTCAGTTTCATGCTTAATGTTTTGACTATCGCTTTGAATTTCTTATGAGCGCTCCCACCTCTCTTCTCCTTCTTATTTGTGGTCTTATGCCACTTGGCAAACAACAATTTGGTGCATTACCACCACCAACTGGATTGGAGTGGAATGATTACCAATCACTTCCTGTTTGTGCATAGCTGTCTTAATAACCCTCTTATGACCATAATTATAACAGGGCTGCCTGGTATTTTTTCTTATGGCTGTAAAATTGTAAAAAAAAGTGCAAAGTGTGTGTAACTCTTCTCCTTTCTTCAGAACAACCTCAGCTTTCAGTGTATGGTTTGTATTTAGAATTTATTTCTATTAAAGCCTTTAAAAAATCAGCTTAAAAGTGAAAAAAGCAAAAAAACTGATTTGAATTTTTTACATTTATTACTGAACAGGAACTTCAAAATTACTGGGCAAACAATTTGTAATGAACAATTTAAACTTTGAACTGTAATGCATCTATTCTTAAAAAAGTTTGAACCTTGGTATCTTTTTTAGCAGTTTTAAGACTATTTATTTTTGTAAGCTTTCAGACGTTTTTATTTGATGTGGTAGACCTTGAAGCATTTTCTCTCCAGCTGCAGGCAGAGTCCTGCACACCTCACACCGCCATGGGGTGCTTCTCTTGCACACCGTACACTGCTATACCAAAAACTTTTGTTTTAGCAAAAATAATTATTTACTGTAAAAAGATAAATAATGCTGGAATGAAGCTGAATCTTACAATTAGCAAATAGTTGAGGGTTGTTCAAATAAAAAAATAAAAAATAAAGACTGAACAAACATTCATACCCTGGTTCACTGGAGATCTGTCCTTCTTCGTGGTCACTGTCTTTAGATATAAGCCTTCTGGGACACCTAATAGATCGTGTTGATTTTCTTTGAGACATTTCCATAATATCATGTCGGCTTTTTATGCTAATTAGCTTCCCTGTTCCGTTATCCGCTTTCACCGTGGGTCTGCGCTCCGCTGTGCTCCGTTTCAATCAGGCTGTACAGCAGGATTTCCATAACTCTGACTGCTTAATGCCATAGATTGTTGGAAAGCTGCTTTTATGAATACTTTTAGGAACCGTTGGAATTTTTTGAATCTGATCAACCAATCAAAAGTTATAAAAAGGAGCATTTTGGATAACAAACTCAGCACGTCTCTGAATCTGTGTGGTGATTCGTTGCGCTCAAGACAGGGAATCCCGGTGGCTACCGTAATGTATTGTATATGCACGAAAAGCCTCATTTTTAATCTTTTCAGCACTTTTGGAATTTTACAGATATCTTGAACGGTTCAGAAATTATGGTAATGAGAATTGCGCATGTCCAATCCCGGCGGCGGCGGCAGGCTGGTAATAAGAATATTGTGGCATTAACAGAGGGGTGCCGGCGGTCAGGGCTAGGGGGCCCCCCCAACACAAGGGGGCCCCAGGTGGCCGCTGACCTATGCCTAATGGTAAAACCACCACTGTCTCTATTGGACGCTCCTATAGAGAAACCTTACATATACAAGCGCATGTACACACAGATGCTCACATGGTGCTCTCATTAGAATGGACTTCGGCACATTCAACACATGTCTTAAGGCTGTGGTTGGCACTAAATGCACTGTGATTTATTATCGTGTGTTTGTTCAGTAAAACAATGCTGATTTTACATTTCTTCATCAAGTTAACGCAATGATAGCTTGCTCCTGGTGTATTGTTGTGTGTCCCTTTTCTGCAGGTCTAGAGGCAGACTCTTGTTCATCATTGATTGTTTATTTTTGTGCGTGATAATTGCAACATGTGTTAGCCATCAGAGAATGTGTGTTGTGTGAATGATGCTCAGCAACAACCACATGAAATGTTCACTCAAAATCTGTAAAAACCAGGTGGAGGTGCAAACATTTGTCATTTTGAGTCAAACTTCAGTGACTATCGCTGCCTTGCAGCCAGACAGTAGGAATCCACATCAAGTCACTTTTATGAGTCACTAAAGTCATAAACAACTGAAACAGGTGGTGTCCACAAACTTCAGGCCGCTTAATGTGTTTACATGTCTAACTGATGTGTTTGTGAGCCCCTTTTACCTTTAACTGGACAGAAGCCCCATCTGTCAGTCAGATCATAGCGATCAGTGGTAGAGCACCAGTGAAGGTGGTCCTCGCGCCCCTCAGTCGTACACTCGGAGTACCACTTGTTGTTGTAGTTAAACGGGAAAACACAGGGATACCCGTGTGCATTCCCCAGTAAAGTGTGGATTTCTATCAGTCAAACAAAACAGACATGACTGAATATTAAACACTTTCTGTAGAGCGAACCGTCTAAAGTCGTGTCTCACATCCTCACCTTCATACGGGTGCGAGCAGGGGCCTTCTTTTGGAGTGTTGTGTCTTTTCCACTCGTGATAAATGTTTTTCTTCACCACCACCAAACGCCCAGCCACATTCAGCTTCCACTCCGATGCTCCGTATATCATATTTCCATGGCAGCGCCACCACAGCATTGGGGAGGCCATGTCGCACTCAAACATGCCCAGGGGCTGCGTCGGGTCTGAAATGTTGAGGCCCAGGCACATGCTGGTGTCCAAATTAAAGAGACGATGTTTGGAGACCCATTTCCACAGCATACGGCGAGTGGGACGCTCGCAGTCCCCAAGAACCAAGCTGGACTGGTCCACAGTGACACAATGTTTCAGAGGCAAACTCTCCAGGATAAAGAGATCCTTTCCTGTACAGAAACAGACACAAGGAGGTTTTAATGTGGACGGAGTGGGACAGCCTAAAACAGATCACTAACGCTTCAAAATCAAGCCTTGAACAAACATTTTGGCTTCAAAAACAAACAAATCTGTGTGGAACTTGATTCTAAAACAAGGAAAAGGGATTTATGGTGGCACTCACAAGACAGAGATAAATATTGAAGAAGAAAACACAAGCTTGTGTGTTTGTAGATCTAATTAAATGTTTAACTTGTTTGTGTTGAGTCAAAAAAGTTTGTTTTGAAAAGGCGTGCACATCCTTCACAGGAGGGGCTCCAGCATCTGCGTGGACAAAAAACGTCTTTTTTAGTGTCTGTAAATCCTCTGTCTGTGTTTTCACTAAAACTTCTAAAAAGTGAAACTGTGAAGATGTTTTTTTAGCTGAAATTAACTCATGTAAACAATTTCCTCGTTTTATTTTTATATAAATGTATGAAATTCAAGCTCTCTGGGTCTTTTTTCCTTCCATCCTGCACAGAGTTATTTTTAATAAGGGACAGCATTCAGACTCCAGCACAATGTTGCTCTGGGTTTGTGCAGAGCAGGGTTTTGGCATTGCCTGGCTGAAAAAAGAAAAACAGAAGGGCACTCCCTGAGAAAGCGGTCTTGATGGCAGGCAACAGATGTTGCCCCCAAACTTGTAAACGTCCTGCTGAACAAAAAGGTCAGAAAGGAGATTTGCAAGTGGCCTGCACCGTGTTTGCTAATGTCCTCTCACATTATGGGTGCTAAATTAAAGAGTGTGCCAATCATTTCCCCTATCCCAGCTGCTTCTAAAAATAATAGTAAATTTCTGCTGGTCAGAGCATGGAGACTTTTTCCACTGCACCCTCTATGAGCTCAAACCCACACAAGGCCAAATCCTTGTGTTTATTTTTTTCCTCCCACCTTGGCATGGCAGGACTTGATTTTGAAATAATTTTAACAGGAAAATAAATAGACGCCAATTCTTTTTTCATGAGATTGTCCAGATTCTCTAAAATAGGTAATAGCATTACACAGAGTAGATTTTTAAAGTTTTATAAAGCAGTGGGACACTTTAAGAAATATTTTATCTTTTTTCTACACCAGTCAACTTAATTAGTTTAAAAAATGTGGCGTCCATTCTTGGTCCAAGAAGGCTGAATCAATGTGAGTGACCTCTTCAGTGTCCCAAAGTACTGCAGAAGCCTGTTGATTCAAACCAGGTGTGTTAGAGAGGAGAAACATCTAAAACATGCACAATGGTGGCCCTCAAGGGTCAGGACTGGAGACGTCTACTCCAGATGTTTTATAATATTAACTTTATTACCTTTGCTGCAAATGTCTAGACATTTTGACCAAATTTTTTCAAAATAAAATGCTATTTTTGGTCATATGAACCTGGTGCTAGCGTGGCTACTACAGAAGAAGTGATCAGAGCCATTTAACCAAATTTCATTCAAAATCAGAGCAAAGTCAGCACCAGTTCTTACCGACGGGGTCAGGTTACACGACTATCTACCATCTTTAGGGACACATCCAACAAAAGGTGCAGCATAGACACAGAAGCGACTCGAGGAGAACTTACTGTAAAGCTCCAGGAGTTGTTTTTGCTCCAGGACCTCTCCTCCGTCCTCCTCGGTGACACACACGCAGCTTTTCACCAGCAACACGCTTAAAACAACCGCGACGGAGCGAAACGGTCGCGGTAACATTTCGACGGAGAGATGCTAGCAAGCGTCCGCACATTCCCCAGGACTAGCCCCGCTCGGACAGGCAAACTGCTGTGCTGCTTGTAGAAAAAAAAGTTTTTTTCTTCATAGAAAACTTTCACCGAGTTCAGTTTTTCTGCGGGGAACCAGCGACGTCACGTCTGACGGAGGAGCTGCTGCTGTCCTGTTAAGAGAGCCGCATTCCTGCCGCCTCGCGCTCCCCATTGGGACACGGCCAATAACTTTATTTAGATTCGGATCAGAGAGCTTCAAGCGACTAAAACACACCGAGAGACATTAGCGAAGGTTCTCTTAGAAGGGGGTCTCCACAGAAAGTCCAGTTCCCCCCGGAGAACGTTCCTAAAATGGCCTTAAAAACAGCTGCTCCTCAAAGCACAGCTCGGGGCCCCACTGGGGGTCGTAAAACATCAAGTGGGGGTCTCCAGAAAGAAAATAATTATTCTTACAAGTAAACTTTTTAAAACAAATTAAATTTATAATTTTGCACACATAAGTCCTGTCATTCCTCATATAAATAAAGCCAAATTATTCAAAGGTATGGTTGGCTGAAAAAAAAATTAAGCGTTTTTTTTCTGATTATGTTAATTTATTTGGCAGACACTTTTATCCAAAGCAACGCACAATTGTTAACCTATAGGGCATGTTGTAATCTGTGGGGGAAACCGGAGGAATCCCACACATGCATGGGGAGAAGATGCAAGTCCACGCAGAAAGACCACAGCCAGGTTTTGATGTGGAAAAATAGGTTTTCCTCTGCACCTGCCACCTGTATATGTAGAGGAGGACGTCTGATTATTGATGCGCTTCACCTGCTGTTGCGCATGCTCCCGCTGCCACGTTTGCCCTATGCTCCCCATCCTGGCACACCACCAAATACGCATTATCTCTATGCGCAAAAGGCGCATCACTGCCATGAAGCTACCATGCACACAACGCCGTCAGCTCAGGCAAGAGGAGTGGAAAAAAAGAGACGAGTTATCCGACACCATGCACATTCTCGCATTGATTGACAGCATGCTGCACGTGACCAACTAGTGATCAGATGCACTGACAGGCAGGTGGATCCAAAGCTGCAGATGGTCTTCAAACGGAAATTTACAGTAGATGAGGAGCAAGCACAGTAAAGAAAAAGTCAAAGCAAGAGGAGGAGTGTGTTGTTGTGTGTCTAGATGTGTACTGAGGATGAAATGTATTAAATGTATTGTTAGATTCATAAATCTCAACCTCTGGCTTATATTGGTGTTTCTCAATGTCAAGGCGCCTGTCTTGCGAGGCCAGGCTCCTTGCTTACGAGGACACTGTCCTTCCTTGGTAAAAGAAAACGGTTAAATGGAACAGACTTGCATCACGTGACTGCGGCTTCCACGGCGGTTACGTAACGTCACGTGACACGGGAGACAACGTTATATTTTATACATATTAGTTTAAATATAAATATAAAACAAGCCATTACCTTTTTAAATTGTTTATATGTTTATTAAATTAAAAATATAAGTGAGTTACTACCTGCTGGCCACCGAAGCTGCAACTACTAAGCAACTAACGAACAATAGATAACTTCTTTGGATCTAAAAACACATTTTTAATTAGTTGACTTACTTTTAAACTTGAAAATTGTCCCCAAGTAGCTGCCGGCTTCTGATCCGCCATCCTGTAAACAGCGCGGTGTAATCTGGGTAATTTTTGACCAAGTCTAGGCTACAAGACACCTCCCATGTATCCTCGCTCAGCTAGCTAAATGGTGTAGAGTTTACTACACACTAGAATCAGCACTGTTGTTATTCAGTTGGAGATTCTGAAAATGACCAATCAGATTAACCTATGAGGCTTAGATCATGTATAAATATCCCGGATACTTGCATATCGATCTAAGCTCATACACCAACCTGTTCGGTCTAATTTTAATCCAGAGATTAACGTTTAATTTAAATAGTTAAATTTTATATCAAAAGTTTATGTTGAATCAGAAGCTAGGAATCTTTAGCCTGGCAAGCCAGACTAAATAATTGTATTATTTAGTCTGGCAACGCTCCATTGACAGCTCTCGGTTGTGGGGCGGGTTCTACCGTTGTCTTTCAAATGATCTCCGCATTCCACTGGACAATGAATGTGACATACTCTTGTTTCACTCTGTTGCATCATCCCACCCACCAGGCATATAGAGTGCCCTGATTGGCCCACAAAGCGGATAAAGCTCTGTGATTTGTTCACTAAGCAGATAGAGCACTATGATTGGCCCACCATTATGGACCAATCACAGCTCTTTATGTGTTTGAAACCCCTCTAGAGAGTTGTGATTGGCCAGCCAGAATGCTGTTGGGGCTGCAGAGGTTCCAGTGGAGCATTCTTAGACCAAACTTTGCAAAGCAAGAATTTGGTCTAGTTCACTAGGCTAAGGAATCATTGCTTTTCAATAACCAGAAATATTATACCTTTTCTGTGTTTCGTTTCAATAATGAGGCAAGTTTAAAAATAAAGACATTTTATTACTAACTATTTTAAATTTAAAGATTTGAAATGACAATTATAAACAACAATTCATGGATGACAATTTAATGACAATTTTTAACAGCTTTGAGATTAAACTTGTTTTAAAAAGGCAAACCTGTGGCTGGATGGAAGCTAAATTGGAAATACGAGTTTGGATGCGTGAATGGAATTATCAGAAGATTTCTTTCAGAGAGAGAGGAAGCGTTCTGGATGGAAATGATGTTTTGCAGCTAACTGAGTTTTTACTTAGAGAAAACAGCATCAAACACATTCTGTCGAAGTCTACCTCACCCAATCAGAAGACCCCCTTTTTGGATCCGAAGTGTCCAGGTGGAGATGGGTTTCCTCCAGGCACGTGGTTGGTAGAAAAACCTCTAGCAAGACTCTTCTTGGGTCACTCGACTGGTGGAACTATTTGCTTCTCAAAGTCTGTAACTCTGAAGGAGTTTTTGCATCTTAACTTGACTCAGAAATCAATAAATCTGGGTAGAGTTTTCGTCAGCTGGTTACGGTTACGTTTATTCTTAGTTATTCTTGTCGGCGTGACAGAACAGCAGGTGGAGGGTCAGGGCGGCCGTCCCGTCTCCTCAGGATGATGGTTCAAGAACTGAACTGAAGCTGGTGATGGTTAGTTTTCCAAAGCTCTCAGGACACTCCCACTCTCTCAGCAAGAAAGCTTGGTCATGCGTCAAAAACATGTGTTGCAGTTATTGTTCATCTGGACTCTGTGTTAGATGGATATGGTGAAACTGACCTTCTTTGCTGAACACATCTTTTACTGTCATCAACCATAATCATAATTAATCATTATCATACCCAAAGCATTATAATTCATTTCATGTAATTAAACTACCTTTATTTTGAACCAAGTGATCATTTATGAGGATTATAATAAACAGTAATAAAATCAAAGAGCTTTATTAATATTATTATCTAATTATTATCATCGTGAACTTGAAGTGTCCTCCTCCTGGGACGGAACAGCAGCAGATAGGTGATATATTCTTCCAGACATCATGGCTCATTGTGTCAGAGTCCAAGCCCCCAGGCCGGGCTCTCCCAGCTGACCGGCTTCCGTCTTGGACCACATTACCCAGCATGCCCCTCGCGGGGATTCCCTCCACGTTTCACCTGCGTCATCCATGTCTATATATGGAAGACGCTACACCAGCTCTTCACTCAGTCATCGTTCCACCGTGATCCATGATCAGAGTATTTCCAAAGCTACTACAGCTAAACCTCCACCTTTCCTCCTCAGACCTCATCCGTCTGCCGTTCCAGCACCGCTTTCAGCCCACCATCTGTATAATAAACGCTCTTACTCCCGAACCCAGTCTTCGAGTCTGACAGGATGACTGAGTCCATTAATCCAGCGGAGTTCGAGCAGGTGAAGAGAAAGATGGAGCAACTGGTGAACGAGAACGTTCAGCTCCACGCCCAGGTCGACCGGCTTAACACCAGACTGAACTCCCAGACGATCTCTCCATGCAGTTGTCTACTGCCGTCACGGCACTCCAGCAGCAGGTTCATGCTCTCCACCTGCAAGCCCTCACTCCACCGACGGGAGAGCCACACTTCAGTCTCCCGGAGAAGTGGAATGGAGAGACGGGGAGTCCAGACGGTCTGCTCGCTACCCTCGAGATGCAGTTCGAGTGCCACCCAGGACGCTTTCCCACTGCGCGTTCTCGAGTGGCACAGCTCACCTCCCTGCTCACCGGACGCGCGGCAGAGTGGGCTGCTGCGCTCTATAATTCTAAATCACCGGACTGCAATGACTACGCTGCATTCGTGGCTGCCCTCAGAAAGACGTTTGTTCCACCCAGCAGCGAAATGGGGGCAGAGGCACGACTCCTAAAACTCCGCCAGAAGGAGCGCTCTGTGTGCGCTTATGCGTCGGAGTTCCGCACCATCTCCGCCAAGCTGCGGTGGGATGACTCTGCCCTTTGAGCCGTCTTCTTGGAGGGACTGGCAACCTACATCCGGGATGAGATGGCGGGAAAGGAGCTGCCCCAGAACCTGGATGAAGTGGTGGATCTGGCGTTGCGCATGGATCAGTGGGTTCTGGTTCAGCCCAAGCCCTTCACTCGCCCATCCAGGGCGCCTGGACCTCTTCCTCGTTCCCCCACGCCTGCTCCCGGACCCGCTTCTACTGATGAGCCCATGCAATTAGGCCACCTTCCTCCAGAGGAGAGACAGCGACGGTGGCGCGAGAGTCTCTGTGCCTATTGTGGCTCCTCCCACCACAGACGCCTGAACTGTCCATTACGTTTGGGAAACGAAGGAACCCACTGAGTATCGGGGTCGCTCAGCCTGGGTCACCTTCAGCCCCCACCTCTTCAAATCGACTCCTTCTTTATGTTACCCTCCTTCATGGTGAGGCCTCACTCCAGATGCACGCGCAGGTGGACTCGGGGGCCGCTGACAATTTCATGGACATGGATCTGGCTAAGCGCCTACGGATCCCCATGACCCCCTTGGAGAGAGTTGTGCCAGTGACCTCGGTGGACGGTAGGCCCCTCCAACCCTATCCGGTCCAAAACCGAACCCAGCCACTCCAGATGATTGCCCAAGGCCACAGAGAGACCATCCAGTTCCTGATCATATGTGCTCCCTCCTCTCCTCTAATCCTGGGATTTCCCTGGCTCCGTCTCCATGACCCCCGGATTTCCTGGTCCCAGGGCCGCCTTTTGGAATGGGGGGCCCAGTGCCAGGCCCACCTCTCTCCTCCTCCATCCATGCCAGACTGCCCGGCCGGTGACCCTGGTCCTACACCGCCCAATCTGCCACTGCCCTACCGGGACCTGGCTGCGGTGTTCGACAAGCGGCGCACCACCACACTGCCGCCTCACTGCCCGTACGACATGGAAATTAAGCTGCA